CAGACAACCACACTCACTTTAGTGAGACTTGGGTACCTCACTTTGGGAGCGCTACTTGGGGTTACGTACCCTCATTGCACGGCGAGAGGATGGCTGCGTCGTCTTGTCATCACGTTTGCGTGTCTCTGTTCTCCCAGCTATTACCGGTGTCGTCTTGTTCCTGTCTCATACGCGTAGTCCCTTCCGGCGGCCAAATTGATCACCTAACCACACCCTCGAAAAAACCAAACAGGAGGGGTGTGGCATGCCTCTCAGTATCTCATCCACTCACTCACCTCACCTCGTGTTACTCGCAAAGGAGCCGCCATGCTGCCACGCTGCCACGCTGCCACAAGAGGGGATATTTCGACAACGATTGACGCTTTGGTTGGCTGTCATCGATCTGCCCCCCTCAAACCCCTTCCTTGGTCGGGTTATCTGTTTCGCTTGGGAGCAGGTGGATGATGTGTGTGTGGCTGATCAGCGCTCCTGCTGATCATCTTCGCAGCGGTTCCCTGATGTCTTGTCCCCCAGCTTTGCCTCCTTCGCTTGTCAATCAGTGAACCCTTTTTTACCCCCTCCGCAATTCCCTCATCTCATGCACTCTCCCATCGAAGATCTATCTTAACCGAATGCTTGCCTCTTGGAACCCCTTCAATAACAAATCTGGAAGATCAGACGAGAGAGCCAAGATCTGCCCTTGCCCCCAATTCCTCTTCCACCTCTCGAAACGCTCCCTTCAAAAAAGGGCAATGTCTCTGCTTCAAGTCTCCTGATACGGAATACTCCCGCGCCCTTGAAGGATGCCACCCTGAGCCCTGTCAGAGAAATACAACGGCTCTCTAGCGGGAGGGGGAAAAGAGCACCACCATCAAGCCACTGCCGCAGCTGGCTGATGCTGAGTGGCTGAACGCCTCACGCTCAAGATCGCCTCAACGGAAAACCATCACCATCCTTCAGCCTCCATTGGGATTGGCGGATGCTGAGAGGATCCCCTCCTCCTCCTCCCCTAAGCCAAAACGAACACAAAAGCCGCCACCAGTCTAAGCCAGAGAAGGGCAAACCCACGCTGTCCTCATCAGCCGTTTACGTCCACAGGCACACGGGCGGGCTATCCAATTGATCATGCTACATTCGCTGCGGAGTCCTTGGCTGTCGCACAAATGGCATTATTCTTCTGGCAGGAAGAGAGAGGCCACACACATACGCATGCGCGAAAATGGGTTCCTGAAGATGGAGCGGCGCCACGCAGCGCCATGGCACGATGAGAGTTCGTCTCGCCTCGGGCTAAGCTGCTAACGGCAGGAGGGCTTTGGTTTTCACGCAGGCGGCGAAACGGGGGTCCAGTCAGACCGAATTTTTGGCCTTTTTGGCCTTTCGCAAGCGGACTCGTGGATGGTCCGTTCCTGTTCCTGTGCCTGTTCCTGGCCTGAGAACGAGAGAGTTTGTTAGTTTCTCGTACCTGGCCTTGGGTCGTTTGAAACGAACGTGGCCGTCGATGAATCACCCAATCCATCCCGACGGAACCGGAGCTGTCGTTCGCGGACAGCAACGGATGGGAGGCATGGGAGAGATACTGCGGTTCCTGAGAACTGACAGGCCACCACCAGACGGCGGGCGGCTGAGCAAGCAAGCAAGCAAGCAGACACGCAAGTGCGTCCGCCGTGCCGCAGCTGCCATCGCATGTTCTGCATGCACTCTAACGCAAAAGACTGTGCCGCCGTTCTGTTCCCCTTCTCACCACCACCCAGCCCGTATGCAGACCGCGGGTATGTCCTCCGCACCTCATTCGTTGGCGCCCATCTGTGCATCTCACATCCCATCCCTTGGTGTTGCCATGTTTCTCTAGGGTTGATTCTTGAGAGGGCTTCTCTTCTCCATGTTCTAAGTCAGCGAGCGTCGAACCATCTATTGTTGGAAAAGCCCCTCCCCCGGTCCGAGGTCTCTCTCTGGGGGTCTACAAACGCCGTAGTGTTCGGGCTTCGATTCGATCTGGCTCCACCCCCATATTCCCGCGCATCCGGACCAGCTTCTCCTCCCCCGAACACTTTTTTTCAGCTGCGCCGTGCATTCATCACCCCCGGCATCCCTGGCAAACACTCATCAAATTGCCAGTCAGGCATTCCGATTGGCTCACCACGCACCACCTCCAACTCCCCAAGCCACCAGAGACAAAGAAAGAAAACCGGTAGGAAGTGTATATTGCTTGCTCAGCTGATCGTGATGCCTTCTCCCCTTCTCCCCCCTCCCCGTCGTAGATTCCAATAGGTCCAATAGTGATCAACTCCGGGGAAGAGGTCCCAGCACACATGCATCTCGATCTCACGAAGAACCTCCCACCGGCAGTCGATGCTGTAGGACATCGTTTGCCTTCAGGAATCCAAGGGCATGTCACGCTTGCCATGCAACCACCTCGTGCTTGAAGGGGCTAACATGACTGACACTTTGGTTCAAGAGACCGTTGATAAGAATAGTCGTCCAATGTTGGTTCTGTCTAGGCTCATTGGATCGGTGATGCCGCCCACGCAGTCCTGCCCGCCATCCCGTCTGCATCATGCACACCCTCTTCTTCCGTAGTTCGAACAACCTCCCACCCCTTGAACGTACGATACCACCACTCCCTTTGGTATTTCCAATGCCGAACCGATTCCCAATCCTCCGAAGGTTCTCGGGGGCTTACAAAGTGTAGACGTCGTCGACCAACGTCGCGGCCCCCACTTGGTTTGATGCTCGTGCAGACTTACAGAATTTACCGATCAATCGGAGACGTTGGAAGGGAGGGCGAGACGATGCGGTTGCAGAAAAGTAGCTCCGCCCTTGGACCAGAAACGCGCACGCCCAGCACGACGGCCCCAAAAAAGGTTTTCTTGTGTATCACCCGGCTCCGTGGTGACTCAACACCGGCGACCCGGCGAAAGGGAGAAGAAGCGAGTCAAAGACGAGACAGAAACTTCTCCAGCGGATCCCCCAGTCTGTCTGCCTACTGCCTCGCCGTATCCCAAGAATAGCGACGCCGATGGTTTGTTTCCAAGGCTTCTAAGCGGACTGGTGTAAGTGCCTAGCGCAGCAAACACCGAAGTACAGCCTCGCCATGCTCACGCCGGCGAACACGTATACGACGAATAGTCATCGAGGACTCGTAGTGTTTGTCATCGCCGAGAGCCCAGTGCGCCCCGTCGGCCAACAGGATTCCGCGTTCACGGTTCCCACCCCCGGATACCGAGAGGATTTCCCAGCTCCTACGAACCGGAACACGAATCCCAGAGATCCCACTCTGACTCCCCCCAGGAGGACCGCTGCCGTCCAATCCTGCCGAAGGGGTTCGAAGCTGTCAGACGGTTTTAACGCCAGCCACAGAAGAAACGCCCCATCCGCATCAGTCAGCAAGTGCCGCCAAAGAGCCGTTTCCCCATCAGAGCCGGACTGCTGGGCTCAAACTCGCTGCGGGTACGGGTGACGGCATCCCGACGATCCCGATCGACAGAGAAATCCTGGTCCGCCCGCGGCTGCACCCCCATCAATTGCTGAGACCGCCCTTCTCACCGCACTCACGTTCAGGGCGGCCTTCTTTTGCGGTCAACCTCAGATCATCGACATGTTCCTGGGTAAAACCTGCCGTGTAATTTGCCACTTGGCCGAGCTGAAAAGCTGAATGGCCCGCCGGGAGATTTTCGCTCTGCTGGTGTCGCCTGCTGTAACATGATCGACCGATGCAGTGCGACGGAGAGCAAGTTTGAAACAAAACGGCCGCTCGAACGATGGGCTTGACAGGTCCAGCTGGGCTGATACCTTCCGACGAGGGACCGTTGACTTCGCGCCCTACGAGTCCACGATAATCTCAGCTCGATCGCGATGCAGTCTGCTCCACAACAACTCTCGTCCTGTCAGATCGAGGCCACAACCGATTGCAAAAATAAAACAGACACACACATGAGAAGGCCAGGACGATGATGCCCTGCATGTAAGCGCCTAGTACGCGAGAGAGCTTCACTTGGAGATATGCCGAAGAACGCTTGATGATTCAAAATTTCGAGACTGAGACCCGTCTCGTCGGCCATCGACTACGCCGGCCGGGCAATTTGCTATGCTGAATGATGTTGATATTGGCAGCCGCCCCGTCAGCCCCCGTGAGGAATTTCTGCCCGCGTGGTAACGTGTCGCGCATCGTCAGGCGGGCGTCCCAAGGGAGTCGACATCAGTCTGTCCCGAGGGGGTTTCGGACCTTGTGTCAACCTCCCGACCCGACGGCGAGCATCTCCCATTCCAGAGACCTCCCAACTTCGTTATAAAGGGCGTCCTAATAGACTGTCCATCAAGACATTGTGTTTCGACCCCCTTGGGTGGGGGGTGAAGTGGTCGCCAAGGCACAACCTGGTCAACCCCAGATCGACCGCAAGGTGCGTCATCCCGCGTTGTAAGCGCCCAGGAAACCGGCCCTTCCGTCGTGTATTTCCCACAACAACGGCCGCCTGCCAGACCCTTAAAGAGCCGGGCATGACCCGACATCATGCGTGCATGCCTCCCGTCAACGGCAGCCAACCGTGGCCGCACCGTACCGCACCGCACCGCAAGACCCGTCATATAACGATTGGCATAGGGCTTGATGTAGTGACGTCAAATGCGCTATGCGGCTGTGTTGAACCCTGAGTGGTGGCTTGATGTTTATTGTTGCGCATTGATGCAAGGTCGGTAGCACCCGAGATTAGGATATGCAATTTCCTTGCGTCAACATGAAAAATCCTGGCAGCCAACAAGCGCGCCTTGCCGCCTGCCTCGCGTTCGGGTTCGTGTGAGGCTAGAATGGGATTAAAGTAGGATGACGGCCATGCTGGAAGAAGACGCGGACCGCGATGCTGAAGAAAACAACACTGGAATCTCGTCCCCGCGCGTTCTTGTGATCTCGTCATCTGCCTCATCTCGATCTGTCGAGGGCATGGGCTCGAGGAATCGAAACCTATTGTATGCGTTGCGGTTCAACGGCCAGTAGATCGAGATGCGAGACGCAATCGCTGTGGAAGAGTCTACTCGATGATGCCGTCGTGCTCGCCCTTGAAACGCTTCACACGCTTCTGCTCCCAGTTGTCGATGTCCTTGGCCGCAAGACGCTGTTTTCCCAACAATGTCAGTCCTTCATTTCTTTTTCTCTCTGCGTCATTTCCATGGCTCGCGCAGCTCCCTCAAGAGGCTGTGAGCTTGGCAGAGATTGACTCACGTAGTACTCCTCTTTCATGTCGACCTTGCGCGCCGACCGACGCATGCTCAGCTCCTCATCCCTCGTCATCTGGCGCACCCTTCTGTCGTGCTTCTCGTATCGGATGGCCGTCGCGGGGGTCAGGACGAAGGAGCCGGCGACCATGACGGCGACGAAGGGCAGGCCGAAGAGCAGGAAGGGGCGCTTCGCCATCATGGCTCGGTACCTCGCGGCGAAGTTGTTTGTGTCGACGGACGACTTGAACTTTTTGTTGTCGAAAACGGCCATTGTGGCGGCGATACTCTTTTCGGTATTCAATTGACGGCTGATGGTCCAATAATCGCCGGTCAAACCTATTGCTCCAGAAACAACAAGGTCAACGTCGCCAGATACTATCGTGGGTATTCGCAATGGCTTCACTCGGGGCGGTGCCTTGGTGGTATGCACAGAGGTGGTCTGATCTGAGGATGATGCGGAAAGCAACAAAAGAGAATAATCGAACCAAAAGCTGACAGGTGCAGTTTCCTCCCGGAGCTCCCAGAAAGTTTGAGCTTTGGTGCCAGGGTGCCCCACCAGGCCTCGACTAGCTTCCGCGCACGTGCCGCACAGTGTCGAGTCTACGGCGCCATACAGCAATGCTGCTGCTGAGGGCGTCCAGGGCGTCCAGGGCGTCGTTATCTAATCGCAGCCACTACAGCGCCCATTCTCAATATTCAGCTCTTTATCACCATGAATGAGTTTACCCTCACCTGAATCTACAACCGCAATAAGCCGCCCCGATGCGCCGTGGCGGCCCGTCTTTTAAGTATATCGATTCAGTTAGTCAAACTTAGCATGTACTCATTTTGCCAGTAAAACTGCTTAGTACCTAAGGTAGGTAGGTTGCAGAGGAATGCTTGGTCCCCTAAGCCCCAGAGTAAATGAAGAATGACGGAGCTCAACATGCCAAAACCAAGACCCAAAACCACGGCGCGTTGCGGCTTAGAGCCATCTTGAGTCAATGAATCTAGCCATATCAGTGCCCACCGCATAGAAGATGTGTCTAGATGGCTGACGTGGACCCTCCAAACGGTCTCGACCGACTCCATCCGCATAATCCGTCACCGGGCAGAAGGTCCCCCGATCTCCACCAGCCTACCAAGCCGGTCCCTCCCCCGAACTTGATATCAAGGCATTTGACAAACACCACAAATAGCAGCAAACGTCTCTACCACTCTCTCACTTCTCGTCTTACGTTGCTGTTTCTGGGACCAGCCGGGTACATAGTACGGGATGCCTCCACGAAGCTCCGTGTACACGTAGACACATCAGCCACTCCGTCCGTACTTTTGAGTTGCCGTACTCAGTACTCGAGTTAACTCAAGTCACCTCGTCCCTCATCTGAAACCCGGCATGAGCCCAGGAACGCCCTTCGTCCACAGTGTTTGCCCTCTCCCACCGTCCTACCCGTCGTGTTGCCCAGCGATGTTCCCCGCAAACCCGCCCCAGCCCTGGCACGTCTTGTGTCTTGGTCAACCCGTCCCGTCCGTTCTCTTGCCGTTGTTTTCCCTGCTTGCCGGCCCTTCTCAAGGTACTTGGAGGAAGAGAAGAGGAGCAAACAGTGTCCCAAACGTCGCGAGTCGCTCGCGCCCGACGACGACGGGGAACAGGGAGCCAGAAAAAGGTTCCCACGGACTGCCACAAACTACAAGCAGCCATCCCGCTCAGACGAAGAGCGCCCAGTTAAGCACCACCACCACCACCCAGGCCCGGCCCAGCCCAGGGCAAGCAACAAAGAGGGCCCCCAAGTCAGGAAGGGGAAGGGGAGGGGGAAGAGCCGGCCCAGGGGTACCGCTGGGTTCCCGGCAAGCTGGAAACCGTGCCGGACAAGCACTGACCACGGAACCTTTGGCCCCCATTGCCCACTGCGCTGCACTGGACCACTGGACTGCAACCACCGCAGCTTCGTCGCAGCTTGTGGTGGTAGTGATACTGGGGCCCGCAACAGCTGTACCGAGACCTTAACATCGTCCCCCTCAACTTTCTGCCCGTCTGCCCATCTTCTTCACACGCGTCTTGCTTCCCTTCCCTTCCCCTCCCCCCTGGACCACACAGTATGAATGGGTTCTGCCTTAACCCTTCGTCGGATGATTTTTTAGGCTTAGTTGTTGCTCGTCGGGCCACAAGCCGACTGGAGGGCCCTGTGAAAGGGGTAGCCCTGGACAGGTGTCACGGTCTCCGAGGCTTGTTTCGTTTCGTTGAGGCGGACGACGCAAAGCGGGACCAAGTGCCAGTAGTCTGCTACTCTGCTGCCGCAAGGAAGCTTGCCGGACTATCCAAGAGTGAGTGAGCGTGTTTATTAATGGATTTTTTTTCCTTGGTCTCGCCAAATTCTCCAGTGCCGCCGCTGCGTCTGGGCGCTCGTGGCGTTGGGGTGTCCCAAGGTGTGCCGTGTCATGGTATAAGTGTCTCTCTAGTCCTGTCCGTCCCTCTCCTGCGCTCGCAAAGGTAACTTGGCACTTCTTTTCTTTGACATATATCCGCGAACATCGAAAAATCGAAAAGAAGAAAAAGTTGAAGATCGGCGAGCTGTCACCTCCTGTCAACCTCCCCTCTCTCTCTCCCTTCCCCGGCTGGTCCATCCCTCCCCTCCCTCGAGTTTCAAGAATAAGTTCGCTTCTTCAACGCACTCGCCCATCTCGACGGCCACCTGACCAGCTTTTTCATCTGATTACTTCCCCGGCAAAAAAAAAACAACAACACACACATTCAAGATGGGTTACTACTGCTCCAACTACTACGTGAGCCTCCCCATGGCGGTTCTTTGTCTTAAGGTCTTAGTCTCACGTGATACCATACAGGGCTCTATCCACTGCCACAACACCGTCTCCCGCTTCGGCGATAGGTGTCACCTCTGCGCAGTATGTTCACTCACTCACTACTCACTCATAGCTCAAAAAATACTCATTAATCATCAGGCATCAAAACGCGGCGCCGCCATCAAGGAAGGACTGCTCTCTGAAGCTGAGCGCTGGGGATCGGCCACCCCCCGGTCGACCCATGGCGATCGACGGGTTGAGCGGGCCAGTCGTCCGGCCCGGGACTCGCGGGTGAAGAACTGAAGCCGCCAATCACCGATCACCAATCACCAATCACTCATCTTACGCAACCAACATTTTTCTGCAATTTTTAACGACGACACACGCAAAGACAGGGGAAACGAATGAACTAGAAAGCGAAGCGGGACAGCGAGCAATCGGCGCAGAATGGGATCCCACCGGGGCAATGGCCGCCGCAAAGACAAAAACGGTTGGGGGCGGGATCTGGCCATCATGCAATACAGCAAAGGCGTTCAAAAAACCAAACACTAAAAACTCACCGGACCCCGCGATGGTGACGATGGTCCATGCATTTTTGCTCTTTCACTCGGGAGAGGTTCCGTCCCTCCCACAAGAGATACACAACACAGGCTCAATCATTTTACATGCGCCTATCATGAGAAAAACAAAAATCTAGATGACAAACTTACCAATCAAGTAATACTGCCCAAATGACCAGACTGTGCTGAGACCCGGGGTGACGGGAAGGTGATGATGCGATGATGTCGTTCATCCGTGAGACCCGGGAGGGGCCTCGAGGCGGTGCAACGCCCGAGCCTGAGCTCTGCAGCAGCTCAGCTTTGAAATCGCCGAATACATGCATGTAAGCTGCACTCTGTACTCCTGACGTTTGGGGATTTTCTCAAAGCACTTCACCTTGCAGTAGTCACGGAGCGCAGCATCAGCATTAACGATGAGTCGGACACGGCTTCGCGGAGGTGGGTGCAAGCTTGACAGCTCGCAACGGATAGCTATCAATCTACGAGAGGCAAAACCCTATCAACCGCGTATTGTGTTCCGTGTACCCGATTCGCATGACTTGGGCAACAAATTCCCTCTTCCCAAATTAAGATAACGCGGAAAGATGGCAAGGGGTGCACCGCGTCCCGAAACGACGACAACATCAAGCATCCAACCTATTCCAACTTCTGACTTCTGTGAGGGGAAAAGAAGGAGCAGACACCGCCTCGATTACTTCAGCTCATAGCACGCGCATATGCCCGCTGTCCGAATTAAATGCCTCTTCAGTACCAGAAGCTAAGCTGCAGCAAAAGCATGCGGTTCGAATGCGAGCACAGTGGGAACCTTGTGCGACGGGAAACTTGGTTAGCTTGGTTTGGCCGTTGTCTGATCATGGATCGCGGCAAGTTCAAACGATGACAGATTAGCTTACCTGAGTGAGGGTTTGTTTCAGAACCTGCGGCAGATCCACGAACGCAACACATACACGCACCACCCACGCCGCTCACTCAAACCATCGTTCACAACACACTTACCTTACTTCACACCCATACGCCCTCAGTATTTCACAATCTTGCCTCTATCTCTGCCCCGCTTCCCTGCAGGAAGGCAACTTCACGTGATTATCGTGACCTCGAGCTGTCAGAAACTATCCAGAGCTCGTGTCGACTACAGCGGCCCGTCCTGGCCTTCCCTTAAATTCTGCCGAGGTATTTGAACACGACAGGAAAGAGACTTCCCTTCGCCTATGAAGTTGAGACGATCACGCCATGACCAAGCCTCTTCCCGGGCCAACCTGGGAGCCCGCGCACCACTCACTGCTCCCTCGCAGCACTTGGGATGGTTGATCTAGCCCTGGTGATTTTGATAAATCTCTACCAGAGGGAGAATGAAGCTTTGGTGGAAGTTGGGGTGAAAAAGAGGCACCGACGTCTAAGCTTCGAGATTCTGCGAGACTTTGAGAGTTGGTGATACGCTGGAACCGGCATGCTGGGCCATCAGTTCACGCTAGACAAGGGCCACCGAGCCTTCCCGCACAAGTCGTCGACTCAGCTGCCAAGGCAGGAAGACCTGACAGAGTTCATGAGGTCAGATAAGCGACTCAGAAATGCCTCTTATCGCCGTAGTCCACAATAGTATTGCGTGATACTCTGTATCATGAATGAGTCGACAACTCATGCTACCTCACACATTGATATCACTGCTAATGATGTAGACGACTTGAGTTGGGTATCCAAGCTCGTTCGAATTTACCAGATATGTAACTCTGCTGAGTCGATTTCTTACATGAGTGGCCCCAGCATGTGAACAAGAGCCCTGCGCTGGGTCGGTCCATCATCTCATCTCTTCCCCCGTTGCAGATATTGGGTCCCGCTACCATCCACGTGGCAAGGTAGACTCTACGACACATGGCGTTTTCGCCCAGCCGGCGGGCTATCTGTCATGCTGGCCGCAGCTTGCTTGACGCTGGGCGTCGCAGGGGTCTCCACTGTGTTTCGTTCCGTCGTGATCTAAGAATACCACCATATGATACACATGAATGGAAGAATAGGGCCGAGATATCATCGTCAACGGAGATGCTTCATTCACTAGAAGCGCCATATCTCATCTTCCAAATAACCCATGGCCTTCACAATCGCCTTTGCGTAGCAGGCCGCTGTCCAAACGCAGGCTCATCCGCCTCCCGTTTCACACCGGCAACACTCCCCGAGTCCGTTTGGCTGAGCAATGGCTCAAGGAGAATCAGCTCTCGATACCTACTTTCACCCAGCATGTTCTTCAAGAAGTCGCTCCTCAAGGGAGAGAGAAGCGAAGCCATTGCTTGAACGTGGCGACGCCACTTTGCGACCTCGTCCTTGTACTCTCCGCCAGTCTTTTCAATTACCAGCGTGTGCGAAGATGTGGTACGTTCCGTGGTAATTCGAAAGTACTTCTCGGTGCCGTAGAGAAGGCTATTTATGTGTTTGCGGCGCGCTTCTGCGGCGGCGAACCTCCATACCTTCTGGTCTGGCGCTGTCAGGAAGACCTCCAGCTCGTCGCAGTCGCGACAGACTGTCCGCTGGCCTCGATAGGGCGCGCATCTTCGCGGCTTGTATGTCCAGCCGACGGGCCTTGGTGGGAAGGGGCCAAGCTGTTGAAGGAGTCCTTCTCCGATGATGACCTCGAGGAGGTTTCTGACTGCCTCGTGGTTCTCGACAGGAATACTGTGTCTCTGCATTATGGTCATCAAAGGAACCAAGAATTTCTCAACGACGTTGGCTTGAACAGCGCTAGGTTGCCACTCTGACTTCGTCCACACTAAGTTATTGCAGCCTGCCTCGAGAAGTTGAAGAGCTTGCTCTGCGGCGCCGAAGGTGAGGCCCTCGTTGACCCGGTAGGCGAACTCCGTCAAGGGTCCGACTACGGCTGCTGAAAGTGCGGCATAGGGTGTTGAGGTAGGTGTGATGTCCTCGCCAGAGAGCAAGAGCTTCGGAAGTGCGTTCTGAACCATGTACACATAAATGTCTTTGGCGTTCCTGAACTCTCTCTGCTCTCGTTTCACAAAGACCGTATTCAAGACCTTGTAGATGAGGTCGCGGTTGCCGCGATCAGCCAAGGAGGGGATCAGGCTGGAGGAACGATGTCAGCAAGATCTGTGACGGGTTAAGGGCGAAGCACCTGGAAACTTACCTTGACATGATCCATTCCTGGTCCTCATGCCGAGATTCCAACGTCTTTGCGAATAAACTGAGATCATTGATGCCAAGCTGAGGTTCGGTCTCGAGCTTCAGCGTCAATTTCGAGTTCCCCCATTTGTTGAAGGAATCCCTGACTGCATCCGATTTGAAGCGGGGCGTGAAGTGTTGAATGCTATTCATCACACTCGACAAAGAAGCATTGCTCGTAGTCTCGCCCAACCTAGCGCAAGTGCGTTAGCAGATGAGAACTTGAAAACAAGACAGATTAGAGTCGCTCGTCTGAGAATCACCTACCACTTATCCCAGTCAATCGCGTCCGTCTTCTCGCCGTAATTCTCTTCAATATATCGGCACGTCACATTGAGTGCCTCGTTGTAGGTGTCTTGGCCAGCTTTGGCTGCGGCCACCATGGCGAGCTGAAATAATTTGCTATCATCTAGCTGAAGAGCCCAGTAGACAGCAACGGGAGGCGTCGTCTTTTGAGATGGTCCTTGTATTCCGATCGCATGGGTAAGAAACTCCAACGCTGTGGCCCTGGTGGCTGGGTGTTCGCGATGCTCCTCCAGATCTTTGGTTACAAGAGCGACCATGTTGTCGGTATGAGCATCAGGGCCGTAAGAGCTCCATACGTGGCTATAGCCCCTTAGGTGCTTGTGCAGGGTCGACTTCTTCACGAGCACAGCGACCTATGAGATGATTGAGCCCTCGACGTTCTAGGAAACTAGTGAGAGTGAGTGAGTGAGTGGCTGGGAGCTTACCGTGTCATGGTACCGATAGGTGCTAGGAGCGCCTTCATTGCCAGTGAACTCTCCTTCCTCCTCGCTATCCGGGCTGCGGTCCTCAAACATATTCGGCGTCATAACTTCGTCGTCATCGAGCGTGTAGTCTGTTGCGATTTGCTTGCCTTCGGGGGTGAAAATGGCGTCGAGGCATGTACCAGGTTCGGCGTCATTGTCATAGTAATCTTCATCCTCCTCAGTGGTATGAGTTTGATGCGCAAGCAGGAGGAAGACTCCACTGTGCGCACCGATGTCCTGTATAGCCTGACAGACCGCTTTATCTCGACCCTTCATATTTCGGAACGAGAGACTGGACTGAGAGTACTTGTGGTCTAGGGGATAGACAAGCATGTTATTGCCGGGATAGTTAACTTGCCATTGCAGCAGTACTTGCTTCACCTCCTGCGCCTGCTGCCCGAAGAAGCCCGCCGACTGCTTAGAAGACCCGTTCTGAACGATGTTGTAGGTCAGGGCCAGACGGTATCCAGACGTCAGCTCCTTCACCTCGTGCGTCACGTCGGAGAACCAAGCAAGAGTGGTAATGTCGAAGGTAGACGTGGGCGCAGTGGAGAAAACGCGTTGATCGGAGCCGAAGGCGAGGTGAACATCTCCACCCTGATGCCCTGAAGGGAGGCATATGACAAGCGTTCCCACCATGCCTGCTTCTTTCTCGGAGTCCTTGTGGCGCTTGAAGAATGAGCCCTCCTCATACAACAGCAGCTTGTGCGGCTTCACCGAGACGTCCCTTAACCCGAGTCCACCAGCGGCCGTCAGATAGACCTTCTGCAAAAAGCCGGCCCATTCTGGGTTGATGAGTTGGAACTGGGTGTGGTTCAGTTCCCACGTCTTCCGCACTGAGGTGTCGACAACAGTGTCTTCGCCTTTGCCAAAGGGTGCTTCCCTGCATGCTGCCTTGATCACCTCAGCATCGCTGGGTGTTAGCGGAAGAGGGAACGCGGGGTGGCCTTCAATCTTGAGACCCGGATTGGCGAAGGTGGGGTACCGGGTGAAGTTGGCAATGTCCCCGACGGATTTGATGCCGTTCAAGCGCTTACGCAGGATCCGCTTCCACGTGTCGAAGTCGACTTTGGTGTTGTTTATCTGTTTGGCGGGCGCTTGGTCGTTGGATTCGTAGTCTTCAGAATCCGAGCTGATTGACACAGCTGAGGAGTTGCCCATTGTTACATAAGGGTACAAAAAGGTCTGGCCACGATGTCAACTGATGCGAAAAGGGGATGAGTTCAATGTTCATTGGAAAGGTATCCCTGAGACGTCATTGAACCCTGCTGGGCGCGTCGCCGCCACGCGTGTAAACGCGTCCAGGATCTCCACTGCCGATCGCGGGGTGTCGGTACCCCGCGATCCTCACTGTTCTCCCTTTCACAACCTCGACAAAAAGGCGAATGGTTTCAAGTTGGGAATGCATGTCATTGAAACAGAGAGGAAGACAATTGAATTAGAAGCGATAAGTTGCAGTCTATTTGTTTGGCCCCAACCACCTGGTGATACTTGTGCCACGGAGAGCAACGTGAAGATGGACTGATAGTGGAGCAAAAGCCCAAATTAGACATTGAAAGTATGAACTGCTTAACCGAACAGCAAAGTCATTTCCTTCTGGAGGCCTTTAGGATTTCAACCTTATTAGTACCATTGCTTCTTCCACTGCCATGTTACAGGCGCATTTGGCCAAGCCAAAACGCTATTCGTGTAAGTCCGATTCCGGCCCAGAAGCAGCCATGCGTCGTCGGGGGACCCAAGTTCCTCGTCGATCTGCAGCACATCCGAGTTCGCCAGCGCCGTGTCCTGGTAGATGATTGCAGAGTCATATTTCCCATCCAGAAGGTCCTTCGCAATTTGAACCAGTCCACCGGAAGTGATCTGGACAACGTCTGACCACTTGCTGGTGTCGGTGTAGTTGGCGACGGAGGGATACAAGATGCCGATTGATTGCGGGTCCGCAACATCCTTCCTCGTAGCTACCACAAGCGGCTTGCTTGGGGAGATGAATGTGTCGATGATGAAGACGTTGCGGAAGTCGCTGCCCACGATTGACGAAGCTTGAGGATGCACGGCATTCATCATGACATAGTCGAGGGTGTCGTTCTTCAGTGCGGCGACGGCGTCATAGAAAGAGTCGTAGTACGAGATGTTCGATGTCTCTGAGATCCCGTGGAAGTCAAGGTAGCGTCTCATGACGAGGTCATGATTGGTGCCTTTTGTCAAAGTTCCGAAAGCCAGGTTCTTGAAGCTGGAGGCCGAACAGCTTGCCACACTACCAACCTTGAATGTCAGAATCGTGAGTCTTCAACCTAGAGCAATTTGGCATTCACTTACGTTGAACCGACAAGAAGCAAACTAGTCAGCGCAGAGCGCGTTGCCATATTGCACAACATTCCGAAACTCGCTATGAACGCCGACGACAACCTAGTATCGATAGTTTTTCCAAATCAAAACCTACAAAAACAGGATCATTTTAAAAGTCGAACGACTGAAAAACCATCCAATTCAGCAGAGATATGGTTGAACAAGCGAAGATAAGCAATCTGCGGGGAAACATTCCCCAGCCACTCTGCCATGGTTCAAGGTTGCGTTGGTGATGTGCGCCCCTGTCGCCGAGTCATTTTCAGGCTTTACCCTGTTTTCACGATATTCCGAAAGCGAGGATTAAACACAACAAAGATCTCAATCATCGCCGTTCCGTTCTCGCCATTTGATAGAAGACAATGCGGGGAATCTGGCGGACCCGTTATCGGAGCTCCAAACCAGTCAGATAATGTGGCAGAGTAACGAACAGCTCAGTGAAGTGCGGGGTTCATCCGAGATAGTGATATCGTTATCTGTGAGATTCTTTGACATATTCCAACTCATAAAGCTCATGGTCTTAATGAAGACACGACAGGTTCTAAGGGATCCATTGCCAGGACCGGGACACATCTTCAAACCCTTCATGTATTGCCCATGCCTTTTCAACGAATACGCTGGACTGTCGAAGAGTGGGGTTCTTTCCCCATCAACGTCATCCCAAAAATTAGAAAGATTTACAACGTGGGAGAGCCGCGAGGGCTTAAGAAGTACCTGCTCTGGGCTGACTAAATGGTGCAGTCCGCCTGAGAGTTGTCAGCGTTCCCCAGGCACACCATTTGCAATCCGTGTCGCTACCGCAGTGGATCCTGCACGGGTGACACATCTCTCTCTTCAGATGCCTGGCCGCAGCCAGAGCTCAGATGTAAGAGCAGCTTAGTAGCCCTCACATTTCTTTGGTAGTGAGCCCGCTCGACATTTGCATTCGAGTTCTGAGCCTCTGCCGTCAAGTACATGCACCTCACCGCCACCAAAGTCCAGCTTAATGTGCATTGCATTGGGCTCTTTCGTGATGCGGGCCACAGATAAGCAGCCTCCATGATGGGTGGTGGTGTCGATGAATGATCGCCCCGAATGGTCTCGAGACATACTAAGGCTTCCAGGCAGCGGCAAGGCAAACTCGAGAAGGCGACCGAGACACTGTTAGTAGGCTGCCGGCTAGAGGCCCTAAGCATCGGGAAGAAATCGCATTGGTCGCCTGTCCGAACAAGGTACCGCGAAGCGGTTCTGACACCATAATGCGGCTGCGTAGCTCAACTAATACCGGGGTGTGACGGTGTTCCAAACTGGTCTTACATGCCGCAATCTGCAGGAATGTTACCACCAGGCCGCATACTGCAGCCGGTCAGCCGGTGTAAGATCAGGCGACCAATGATACGCCAGTAAACATCAATGGAAGAAGAAGGTCGGACGGAGATTTTCTTGGCGAGAAAAGAGGATGGTGGTTGTCTTCCCGCTGAAGCTTCGCCCGGTGACCATCGTTTTTCCACATTTATTCAGCGGTCGCATATCCACGGGACTCGACCGATGAAATGGAATTTCGCCCAACGCACAATACCCTTTGAGTTAAACATCTAGCGGGTGTCTACTGCCACATAGTCTCACCACGATGGAGGACTCGAACGTACGATCGGTCCTTTCGATCTACCGAATCAGGCTGGATGTCCTCACATCCTGGCTCGAGCATAACCATGGGAAGCAATGTCAAATTGAGGTATAGCAGCAGCAATCCTTAAACTTCCGTTTAGTAACATCTGGTATGCTAGGTGAAAGGCATAAAAGCTGTGATCTTTGCGCCTGTGGAGCTGCAAAAGGTAGATTTGGTTCACCTTCTTTCTGCCATTAACATCCTTCTACTGACTACGAGATAAAGAGCGACATAGACCATTTGAAGAACTTGAAGGCCTGGAACCCACCGGTCAAGAAGACTTGAAGCAGGGGGACTTTTGTGAGGAGGCTCTGAATTCCATGTATGCTCGTTTGCTAGTTGCCAAGTCAAATTACGAGGGTCACATCCACCTGCTGCTCAATGACGAGCTCATGTTACTCCGAGACAACTGGCGGCTGAGGTGATCCAATATGCACTAGACCCCTGCAACGTTGAGAACCCGCTATACCTGCCACAGGTAGCCTGCATTAACAGGGCAAACCTGTATCTATCCGCCTGCTATGTGCAGCCCGCTGTAATAGCTAGTAGTTCTGCCTTATGGCTATGCCTTGCCAGGCTTGGAACCGTGGCCTGCCCAGTGACCAGTCATGTTCCAAAATGCCCAGAGAATCCAAGACGGGGATTTTATTCGCCTATTTGAACCATCGTTCACATTAAATTCGGCAACCCCGCTCTACCAGAATCAGGTGTATCTTAGTCTCAATTAATGACCGTGAACCATCTTCAGAGCTCCATTCTTGTCCCTCGGAACATCATGCAGAACCACGACCCACAAGACGAGTTTGCTGAACTCTGTCATAGATACAAAGAGTATCCAAAATTCCAACTTCACACCCAAAGTCCCCAAGAGGCATGGTATAATGAAACGCAGTGGGACAAGCTTCAAGAGAAAGAGAAGACTGTGTTTTGCGCCACACATGAAAACATCGACGTATGGGAGACGGGAGGTCTCAATAGTAATGGTCCCGCATTCAATCTAGTAAACCACGGTGGTACTGATGGATTGTTCAGAATTCCCTGCCCAGGAGACCAGTATCTCCGGTGTCAATGACTTGAAGCAGCACCTTGTTCGGAGCGATAAGGACCCTATTGTCCGTCATTTGTAAGTGATACAAAGGCCTAGACAATGCACGGCGTTTTGCTGAGATCCATATAGGTTTCTGGCGTCACCAGACTCGAGATCGCCTTTGAATTGCTCCGTGGATATGTTTAAATTTGCTTGCGCATACCACCAAGTAGATCCCTACTTTCTTGAATCACTCCATGCCTTCGGGGAGCAGGATGAGCCTGTTGATCTTTGTCTCTCCCAATTCAGGGGAAAGAACATTCTCAGCGCTGATTCAAATGAGTCCCGGGAACTGAAGAAACTTGGAAGGTCTGGACGTGAGACTCGAGTTTCGTACCTCTTGAGGTCTGTGGAATTTTCAGAGAATGAAGAGGAAGGACTAAACTGGAAGTTCCGACAAACTGCGAACTATCATTCATTCGACTTGAAGACCGGAAGAGCCCTCTGGATCAACATTAAAGGAAGCGAACTTTTCAAGGAGCGCATCTTGCAGTTTCGACACCTTCTGAATGTCCCGCCCAAGACAGAATTGAACGAAGATGATGTCTCACACCACCTACAAGCATCACTTGCCACTCATGTCATTTACCTGTCTTGGTGCGACGAGAATTGGCGCCAATTTATCAACGACATAGAAGGAGCCGTAAAACGCATTATTGCGCCAGCCAAGGAAGCACTTGTCGATGATCACGTCGGTGAAGACGGGTTAGAATCTTATCCGAAGCTCATGAGGGAGACAATATCACGGAAATCAACAACGAACTCAAAGACTAGCCCATCAAAAACCAACACTATGGTTTCTGGTACGACCCTGACAAAGTCGCCAATGCTCTCTAGGATGATGAGTGCTACAAGCTCAACTCTTAGATCTTGGACTAGGACGCAGACAGATTTACCAACAGACCTGGAAAAGGGGCCACTACAGGGAACATCTGCCGACAACGCCAGCAGCCCGTCTCTCGGACTAGACCCCCGAGGAATGCTGAAAGATATCCGATTCAAACACATGCAGTCTCTTCACCACCATGCAGAGACAATCCAGAAGTCGATGTTGATCTTGGATCTCAACGTTGGCGTCCTCAAAAACATTGGGGAACACTATGACAACCTCGCTGCCACCGAATTCAAGGATATGGATGCTTGCAAGGCTGTTATTAACGAGTTCTTGAGAGAGATTGCTTCCATTTCAAAGATGCTTGAGACGCGTTCGAGACAACTGAAATGTCTGGCAGCCAACCTAGAACAAGGCATATCTTTGGTGAGTAACCAACTCGTAGTTGTACTGGAGTCATAGGAGATTGAACGAGGTTGACTGACAGAAGTTCCATAGTACGACAAGGCCTTACAGCAGAGAAGTGACCAGATTAACACCAAACTCGCCGAGTATGCCCAGAAGAACAGCGAGCAAATGCAAATAATATCCGACAAAACCTCACGACAAACAACTTCGATGCATGTCATTACCGTCGCTACTCTTTTCTTCTTGCCAGCCACTTTTGTAGCAGTAAGAGCGAACGTTCCAGCAATATCCAGTTTTATCTGAACCTCTGACGAAATGCCAGACATTCTTTCAGAGCGGTGTATTCCTCTGGAACGAAGAGACACCGGAGGACATGCAGGCACCATTCAAGTGGCAAGGTGACAATTTTCGACTGTTCATCAAGATCACCATCCCGCTGACTATCGTAACTATTGGAACATGGCTATTCGTGTACTTGAGACTGAGGTGGAGAACAAGCAACCTTTAGAACATCGGGTGATTCTGTGGAGTTACTTTGGCGAAACCACCAACAGGAACCTTTACTATGTTAGAAGCACAAGTGTCAAATACATATAGAAATTGGATGGAGTTCACCCAATGGAACTGTTCCCTGAAGACAACGTCTCATTGAGACCTCGCCACACTGTCACTACCCACATGCCGGCAAAGTTCGCCGATGAAGAGGCCATTGTGGCATACTTTGGGTTCGTATGGTTTCTCACCATGTCAGAAACGATATGAGGAGGTAAGATTCACACGTGCGTCAAGCGTCTGGGCTACCGACTTAGCCGTCATCCATTTGAAGTCGGCAAGGCGACTTTTAGCGTGAACGGATCTCTGGCTCTGATTGGTTTCTCGATTTGTTAACTGGATATTTACTAAGGAGGCCTGATTCGACAGAATTCCCTGTTGATCAGCGACACTAAAAGGCGTAGTCGCCGACTTCAAATGGATGGTGTGGTAGCCAAGTCCAGCTCGACAAACCAAGGCAATTGCCAAGTCGGCGTGATGAGCTTATGCATGCGGCAGGCTACGGCACCCACGAATGGGAGGCGCTTTAGGGAACCGGGGTCGAAACCATGCAAAATAATCCCTGAGCTTTCTGAATCTAACTGGTTCTCCTGAGTCAGGAATGCAACATGTCGCGCTGAAGGGGGAGTGGGGGCTACGATTACTGTCCTGCGGTCTGGCAGCCACAATCCTGTTGAAGCCACCGGTCGCCTACATGGTTCGCCATTTTATTCACATTATTTCCGATGTTGCCAAAATGGAAATAAGGCTGGAGGCAACCTGCACCGTCGTCAGGCTCACCAGTTAAGTAGGCAGCACGCCCAGGGGACCCCACCAATCTCCGTCACCAGCATTGTACAAGACTTCAACTGCTTACTAGAAACCGGCATTACTTAACGATAATTTCTACCGAATATCTATCCCTCCTATTTGCTCATTGGTCGGTGTCTCCCCTCTCGTATCATGGAACCTGTCGGAGCTGTGAAAGACTTTCAGCAACATGTCGCCCAATACATCAAGGAATACGACTGCTACGGGAACAGTGCAGAAAGGGACCACGTTGAGTTCATGCCACAGATTGAACTTGGTCGATTCTGGACTATCGAGAAAATTGAAGATGTTCTCTGCAGCACGGAGCCTCACATCCTGGATACCGGCCAAGAAATCAGGGAACATTACCTCGTTGTATTCTCTGTCCTGACATTCATGGCGCGACATCAAGATATATCTGTCTTCATTCGGTATAATGTGGATGACAGCGGGCTGCCACTACTAGCAACACCAACTGCAGCCTCGGAATCCAGCAGCGATCGCGAAGTGTTCGAGCGATTCCAGAAATCCCAGTGGAAATTTTGTCCACTGACACTCAACATGGGTCGAAGTGAGAGAAAACCAAGCAAGAGGGAATTATCTCCTTTCCACATCATACCAGTTTCGAAAACAGAAAGAATTAGTCCGAGGGAGTCCGGTCGTCGTGATGATATTTGTCTTGACAAAGTGACATTGCATGAGCAATGCTCCGCCTACAAGGTTAACAACCCCCAAAGAAATCGCTCGTACGAGAAAACTTCTAATGCATACTCTGCTAGACTGTTGTATTTAAGGTTCTTCGGGGTAGCAGTGACACCCTAAAGGTCATGTACGATAATGAGGTTGACATGTACAAGAACCTTATCAAGGAAGACTCATTCAATCACATCATGAGATACTACGGTTCTTTTCAAAGCTTAGATGTGCGGGTAATTATACTAGAGTATGCCAATGGTGGCACTCTGGAATCCTTTTTTGAACATCAACCTCCTCCGCAAAGTAAGGCGGAGCGCGAGCTGTTTTGGAATTGCTTGATGGGTCTGTCCAGAGGGTTAGAGCGTATCCACAACCTGACTGATTCGAAAGAACATTCGAAAGGAGCCTGGATGCGACGAGGGTACATATTTATTCCTGCCTGCTCATGTTACGTTGATGTACTGACATTACCATGATAGGACCCATCAAGACATACATCCACAAAACATTCTAGTCTGTAATGAGGGCTTCGGAAATATGCATGGATTCGCGTTCAAGTTTGCAGACATGGGAACTGGCCATATCCGAAGGATGAGGTACAAAGGTCTGGACGAAGATGCCATGGACCAAGAAGGCAACGGAATGTACAGTAAGTTATCAAGCTTTCTTGTCGTTTGACGAAATACTGAGGAATCATAGGCGCACCCGAGGCCTGCGTGGATAACAAAGGCACGAGAGGCATAAGAGGAGATAATGACGTCTGGGCATTAGGCTGCGTTGCAAGCGAAGCGCTGGTTTGGTGCCTTCAGGGCGACCGTGGGCGTTGGCGCTATCATAACGACCGTATCAAAGCCACACAACAAACCGTGTTGAAGGATGGATGCCATGTAGGCGCATTCCACGACGGGACATGTGTCCTTAACACAGTTGAGGATTGGCACCATAACGCAATCAAAACCGCTGCAGGCGACACTGATTTCTACACCCAACTGAGCAATCTCATTCTCAGTCGGATGCTCGTTGCTGAACCAAAGCATCGAGTTGATGCTGCCGAGCTCTATAACGAGTGGAACTTATTATTTCCAAATCGGCCCGCACTTCTTCCTACGAACCACACCGACCCAGGACCATCTACACACTCTAAGACGGATGGTTTAGAGTGTTTAGTGAGCGATTCCGTGTCACAAGGCCCCGTCAGATCCTTGACAACCCCTGCTATCTCAGCCACGCCACATGAATCAAGAGGGTTGCACATTATCACCACAATCCCCGAAGACAACTTTTTATCACCGTCGCCAAGTCCAGGACACACTCCCAGTATCTCAATTACGGAATCGCCCCAGGAAGAATTATCGGAAGAACCCCCGCGGTTGACAACATCGTTGAGGGTAGGAAGGACGTATGAAGACCGAAGACATAGATCTGTTTCTCCACGGCCGAGCCAAGTGTCCGACGGGAAAGCCACTGGCAATTCAGTTGGAAGCACCGACCGAAACTCAATACCACGAAGGCACACGCTTTCGGACAGCGGCGTTGGCCTAGATTCACGACCTCAGTCAACTACTCAACTACAGACTGACAGTATGAACACGGTCTTGAAAACGAGCCCAATTGTTGGAATGGAAGAAAGCGGCTCGTCTCACTCGGCGAGATGTCGAGACAGGTCCGCTCAGCAGAGTTTCGCAAACGAAGTTGGTTCATATAATCAAGCTCAACTCGAAAGTAACATGACGTCAGGAAGCAGAGCCTTGGAGGACACATATAATTATACACGATCTCCTTCACCATCTGATCGAGGGAGTTCGCAACATACAGTGGCCACTAACCCACAGTCATTAGATCTCATTGCCACGGTTGACCTGGTATGGCACATTTGCCTGGCAGACAAAACAGGCCTCTCCAAATATCTCAACCCGACTCCCAAGAAGCAGCGTGGCAGGCATCCATTCAAAATATTTCCTCAACTAGCAATAGATGTCAATAAAGTCAAGGGGGACAAAGGACGGGATCAAGTAAGTTTTCAAGGAACGCCTAGAGATAATGAAAGTGCAAGAAGATAACCGGCGACAGATTTTCCTCGTTGATGATTCAGCATCTATGAAGAACCACAAAGAGGCTGTAGGTCGGACTTGCCGGGTTCTTGCGTATGTTTTGAAAGAGGGGGGAGCCGATCCAGACGAAGCATTCGATCTTTACTTCACGTCAGCCCAGCCGAATGTGAGGTCAGGAAAGAGTTCGGACCTTCAGAAAGCTGTTCAAGAATGCAAATTCTCGGATAATATCTGCGATATGCAATCGAGCTTAGACCTGATAGCCACCAAGGTCATCCAAAATCGAAAGCAAGTCAGCATTTATGTCTTGACAAACGGCCATTGGAACTTGCAGTCTGATGAGAAATTTTGTGGCGTGGATTTTCCCATCCGACGCCTAATCAGACATATCAAGAAAGAGGACAAGCAGAGAAACTGGGCCGGTATACAGTTCATTCGGTTCTTCGACCAAACCTTCTCCAATGAAGACAAACTTGGACAGGAACGGTTGATAAGACTGGATGAAGAACTGGAGACAGAGGCTGATCGGTACGCTCTCATTCCCATGTCAATCCCCAGGTTCATTTCAAGGTTTCGGAGGAAAGCTAATTCCACATTTAGGGACATTGTTGACACCACGGACTTTGGCAAAGGCGTCCACAAAATGCTAACAGGGGCACTCTCTCGATGGGAAGACGCTGTTGGAGAACGAGAAAAAGACTTGGAAACATGAGGAATGGTTTCTCCTCGCATGTGTTTGTTTATTTGTATTTGGACTTGAGCATTTGTGCGAGACATCATTGAGGGCCCGAATCGGGAACAATAGAGCATCAAGTCAACTTGGTAAGTTGATGGTAACCATTGGAATCATTTCGTCCGTAGGAAGCTAAGTCTTAACGTCTATGTGTTAGTGATGAGGCGCTGCTCTGTAAAATCATGTGGTGAACATTTTGTACCCTCAATTGAATGTAAGCCCAAACGATCGTGTTCTTAGGCCTTGCAAAAATCGTACCCGGCATGGGGAAAAAAAGTCATGCGTGAAGGGCATGGTATATTAAAAGACTGAAAAAGAGTGGTATTGTGTGCCGGCTGAATGTGTAACCAAAGTTAGACTGCAGATGCAAACACTCCTTCTCTCCATACAGCCTCGATTGGTAGACATCGCCCGTTGCGGTCGCCTAGCACTTTCAAAACATCACCCTTTATCAAGACCAAGTCGGCATTCCTCCCAGGCTCAATGTTCCCGCGATCATCGAACTTGAATCGATCTGCTGTGACAGAAGTTGCTGACTTCAGGACATCGATAGGAGACATGCCGACCTCTTCCACCAACACACGCATCTCCAGGTGCATTCCCAATCCATACGGCAAGCCAAGACCCTTGCCAGCAGCATCGGTCCCGACGATCAGAGGCACACCTGCTTTGTACAAAGCCTTTGTTGATGCATATGCGTTCGCAATGCTCGCCTTGGGCTTCTGTCCCGCAGCTAACCCGAGAGGTTTCGTTGATTCCTTTTGGATGAGAAATCGTTTTGCATATGGGTCCTTCATGTACGACATCAGCATGTCTTGTCCCTCGCCCGTCTGAGAGGCACATAGACCGAGTGTGGGGTTGCAATGCGCCTTCCTCTCCAGCATGATTTGAATGTAATCATCCGTTGGCGGCTTGTCGAGGAACATGTGGCTCAAGCCGTCCGTTCCGGCACGGAGCAGATCCATCGCGCCGGCATAGCTAAAGGCGTGTCCAGTGGTGATGACACCATGTTTATGGGCAGCGGCTACGACAGCTTCTTGAATATCCATAGGAGGCCGGGGGAGATCCATGCCCAGAGTGTCGCCGAGCTCGTGGAACATTTTTATGTACGCTGCGCCGTTCTCTTCAATCTGCTGCTTGACGAACGGCTCCGCATCTTCTGGCTTGCGGAGCATGGGCCAGGTTGAAATGATCTTGTCAACGATGTGGTCACCGCATGGCGTGTTGGAGAATTCTTTCCTCATCACGGGAATCGGCCAGCCACCTTCAACGACTGCACCAAGTCCAGCACACTTGAAGTCTGCATATTTTCCCTTATTGGACGGTTCACTCGCGAGCTAAATTCTTCATGTCAGTCTATGCTAGCCGGAGAAACGCATCGGGTAGATGTGTTGACGGACCTTCTTCAACTCGGCATTGTCTTTTGGATCATTGTGCATGTCGCAGACGGTGGTGACACCGAAGCGGAGTGATTGCTCGATGCTGTTGACATTTCCAGACAGGGCATGTATGTGCGCATCAATTAGTCCGGGTATGATGGTGTGTCCCGGTTTCGATATGACTGTAAACCCCGTGGTAAGCTCACCATTGAAATTGCCCTCACCAACGGCAGCAATTTTTCCATCCAGGACATAAACGTAGCCATGCTCAATTATTTTAGTGCCGTCGAATATTTTGACATCTTTGACAAGCATGGAGTTGACGACCCCCATGGCTGATTTGGAAATTTGGAAGAAGAGCGATGATAGTCGTGCATGTATGGTTGACAGAGGCAGTCCTGGCGGAGCCAACACGCCTCGAGATCTCACGAAATTTGGGAACAGCCAAGCTCCTCCTTTTTCTCTTACCAATTGCGCGTACGTCACGGCCTTAATTCATCCTCGCACGCCACATCGGACAGAGCCACCGCCTAGTCGCACGGAAGCTAACCTCAATTGATCGACTCACAGGCAGTCCGGCAGATGAGCAACAACAGACAAGTCGTCGGTTCCGCGTGCTAGTGCCGCCCTTTGTCAGCTCCGGCCTCCGTCTGAAACTTAAGCTTTCAATCGTTTTTGGCCACTGCTCTGCGTTGATGACGTCTTAGCCACAGCAAACGGGGACAAGATAGAAGCCGGCGCGTGGTGTCGGCCCAAGCGAGCACGCGGATAACGCAGGCGTGCAAGCCGATCTTGTCTGGGAGATGATAGCGCCGACGTCAGTTGAAGGCGAAGTGGGTGGGTTTTACAGGCTCGGAGGTGGTCTGGACCGCCAGAGGCCATGTGGTGTGGAATGACCGGCGATTCAAGGCCGACTTTTGCACTGGGATTTCCGGGCTTTGCGATCGGCCTTCTGTTTTAGCGCTGTTCTGCGGTAGAATTCGATGCGACAATGGGACAAGGGTTGCTCCGTGGTCTCTTGGGTGATGCTCATAGGTCTGTCGGCAGGCATCATACCGGCGGACACTAGTACTGCGTGTAAGGCTTGAATTGGAATGGCGGCCGCTTGGTTCCTTGCTGCAAAGAGTCGCTCGCATTCATTAAGACAAGGTGATTGATGGCCGTCTCTCTCGTTCTGGTATTATCCTCGTGAGAGCGGTGTGAGTGGTTGGGACCTACCTGTCATCCTGCTTACATTCAAGAGAAAGCAATCTTATGATTTGAGGATAGCATTTTTTCCCACGGCGTGAGACGTAACTCTTCAAGCTTCGCGGCTCCATGTTCAAGGCAAAACATTGTGCTTACATATTAGTGTACAGACGAATTGGGGTCATGCTTCGCTTGCCGGCCGAAACCCCTCACTGAGGTGGTGGGGGTCGTTGCAATCGCTCGTTACCTGCTGTGGGGTCGTTTCTGAACATGAGATTCGCAGGAAATGGTATCATCGGCCAGTCTTCCGATCTGGATCTGCCAAGAAAGGTCGCATTTCGACGGAAATCTTCACCAGCCATCATTCTAGCTCATTCTGATTAAGCTTCACAGCCGCTAATCATGTCACCTCAATCGTCTCGCCTGACCAACTACATCGCCTTCTCTAGGCAAGATGGCTCGACCCCGCAGATTGGCCATCTCGACCATGCTCAGCAAACTATCCAGCCCCTGGCCTTCCTCTCGGGCACTCCCGTGGAAAACTTGTACCAAGTCATCGAAGTGGGCACCCAAAGCATCACGGCATCAATCGACCCTCCTATTCCGTTGAAGGATGTGAAGGTTCTCCCTCCAATTTCAGGCCGCGACGTCCTGGCAGTAGGCAAGAATTACATGGAGCACGCCAAAGAGTTCAACAGCTCAGGATACGATAGCTCTGATAAGGTCGATAAGCCCAGCCACCCTGTCATCTTCACCAAGCGCGCAACGTCCATCATTGCCGATGGCGAAGAGATCCTGCTGCACAAGGGTTTCACTGAGAGCGCTGACTATGAGGGTGAGATTGGTGTCATTGTCGGAAAGGCTGGGTTTCGCGTTAGTGAGGCGGATGCGTGGGACTATGTCTGGGGCTACACTATCATCAACGACTTGACGGCGAGAGAAAGACAGAGAGACCACAAGCAGTTCTACATCGGAAAGTCTCCCGACACGTTCTGTCCTATGGTAAGGAAACCCCGATTCGAGTGTGTCTTGAGATGTTTAGTTGACAATTGCTAGGGCCCCGTAGCAGTGCCCAAGGAAGACTTACCGAAGACTCTTCGCATCCAGACCCATGTCAATGGAGAGCTGCGCCAGGATGCCACAACAGAGGACCTCATCTTTTCGATTCCCCATCTGATTAGCACATTGTCTGCTGGAACGACTCTACAGCCTGGTGATGTCCTCGCCACGGGAACGGTGCGTGTACGTCTTTGCGTGTTGCCATACCGGTACTAACACTCGGCCAGCCTGCAGGAGTCGGCATTGGGCGTAACCCTCCAGTCTTCCTGTCGCCTGAAGACGAAATCGCAATTTCCATTGATGGCGTTGGGACTTTGAAGAACAGAGTGGCAGACCATTCCGCGGTAAACACAACCATCGAGCGAGTTTCTGCACAGTCAGCTCTCAAGCCCAACAACGCTGCAAGATCGATTCAAGGCAGATCGGGGCTGACAACGATCAACGAAAAACCGTTAAACTATCAGCGAACGGGAACCGGAAAACAAAGCATCATCTTTGTTCACGGTCTTGGCTCCTCGAAAGAGTATTGGACACCATTGACAATGACACTTGACCTGAAGGATGCGTTCACGGCGCACATCTTCGACTTCGAAGGCCACGGCCTCAGCCCGACCCATCCGCTCAGCACCATCACCTTTGAGTCGTTGGTT